TGTTCAAGTCAAAACCATGAATTATTTTACACAGTAAAACTAAGTGGTTATAATTTTAGTAAAAACGTAGAGGCACCACTTTCATTCTTATTCAAAATAAGCATGTTTCACATTCTGTAACTAAAAACGCACAGGCCTCAAGCTTACTGAGCATGTTAAAATGACCTTCAGCAGTCACTACTCCTGACTCCTTCGGAGTCGTGGGGGAGATAAATGATGTATTGTGTCTAACCTCTCCCGCTTCCTGGGCAGGAAAGGCTGGGCTGACACGCCCACAGAGCTCAGCTGGGCATTAGAAGCAGCAGCAAAGAATGTCCCTCAGGCTTAGGAGCACTGAGAACTTCTAACTCTGCCATTTCCACCTCTGGGACATCAGGTTCGCTCTGTGCGGAGCAACCCTGTTACAGATACTCCTCCCTTCCCACCTACCCAGCTTAGCTTAACTCTTACTGGGTAAACCCTTGGTGGGCAGTGTGCTTTAACGCAGTGAAATCAGCATATTATTACCCGAGTGTGTGTGTCTGTGTGTGGGGGGGGGTTCTATCTAAGACATTAACAGTGAGAGACCAACCAGCTAGCAATTCAAAGGCTCTGTGAATGGGACCCAGTGCGGGCAAACTGAACCCGTATAAGAGACAGAAACACTTATCTGGTAGGAAGGACTTTCCCAGAGGGGTGGGAAGGCACTGCCAATTACTCAGTATAAAGGCACTAAGCACCTGTGGGGGGGGGCTGGAATGGAAAATGAGAGTAACATGTGCCAAGTCTATTTTACTAATAGCTGTTAGCAAAATGCTCAATTGAGAAAAAACCTAGATCCATTTTACGAATACCTTTTAGTAAAGTGCTCAATTCAGAAAAAAGCTAGAGCAGAGGCCGTAAAGAGCTGCAGGACCACAGACTGGCCGTGGAGGCAGAAGACGGCTGCAAACCACACTGGGGGGAAACTTCAACAGTGGGAACGAAGGGATAGACACTGGCATTTAGTGTTTACTTTGTGTTGAGGAACAACAACAACAAAAATATATATATATATCTATATACACACACATACATACATACATACAGGGTGAGGCAAAAGTAGGGTTTACAGTTGTAAGCACACAAAACACAGAGTTTATTCTTGTATTATTATTTACTATTATATTATTTTCCACATGAGCAACGGTAGACCTACTCTCGCCCCACCCTACATATGGTATATATACATGCACACCTACTGTGCAGACACATACACACAGACATAGGTATTTGTGTGTGTATACTCCTCTCTATATATCTATACATATGATATTTTTATATTATGTCTTCATCAGATTTCTACAAGGTAGGCATTATCACTCTTACTTTTCAACTGGAAAAGCCAGACTTGGAGAGTTTAATAACATGCTAATGGTCACACAAGAAGCAAGAAACACAGCTGGACTCAGGTCATTTGTTGAATGTTCTTAATTTTCATGTGGAAACAACAACAGGAAAAACAGAAGCATTTCAGGTAAAAATTAAGGTATCTTTAATTGCAGAATAGAGGCAGAGAATTGCCCACTTCCTCCAAACGTTTAATGTTTGGACTGACTAGAACCGATCTCTCCATCCAGTTTCAACTCAAAAAAGAAGTAGGAATTACATCAAATATTTTCATTTGAGTGTCCCCAAGAGCCCTCTCTCCCCAAACACATTAATTTTAAAAACTTAATATTGCTCAAAATGTACTGGTCAAATAATTGGATGTATCTACTTGGCTACCATAGAAGATACACATAGGAATAGGTTTTATGGGGCAACATTTTAAAGATACTGGAAAAACACTGCTTCCAAAAAGAACCCTGTCTTGCCTTTCCCCTTAGGACTTAAATTCTATAATTAAATATGAGTGTGACTTTTATTAGAATGCATATACTTATGAAATTCCATGTAGAGTAATATTTGCCTTATTTTAATGAATTTTGTCACATTTTTTCCAGGAAACTGCTTTCCATCTCTGGAAAAAATCACCTGATAGTGGAAAGTGCATATAATGAAAGAGAGGAACTGTGGAGTAAGGAAAATAATGTTGGATGACCAAGAATTTGTCATTCTGTTACATCACTTTACAGAAGGACACTGTGGCAGAAATGATTTCCAACCGGTACATTATATTTGTAAGTTCAACAGGGTTGAGATTTTCCAAGTAGTCAGTTTCATGCAAGTGCAAATGGTGACTGGGCCTGAAGGGTCAGCGATTACATCTGCTACCTACGCTGTGGTGTTTCACCTTCAAACCTAATGTTGCCTCTTTATCCTGCAGAATAATGTGATTTTTTTTTTTTTTTTGTCCTGCCATTCTCGGCATAAAATTACTTATACCAGAGGGGCAAAAAGCAATTCTCAATCTAATCTGTTTTGCAAATTTGACAGTGACATCAAAGAGCAGGAAGTTGTCTGTGAGTAATGACACTGCTCATTTGTTTAAATGTCAAACTTAACCTCATCAACTTTCAGAATATGTCAGTAAAAATGAGTTTCAGTTCAGCCAGAGAGGATTTCAGTGTCATTCAGTGTGAAACAAAATAGCTGTCAGTATCTTGAAAGCAGAGTGCTTTGAGTGAAGCTTTCTTTTTTAAGCTAAATGGAATTGGCCATTTCAGCACTTGAATCTATGGACAGTGCCCCCTTCCTTTAGGGAACGAAATGAGTTGCCTTACTGTAGAGGTGTTTCCTTCTTGAGATTAAGACACTGCCAGGCTCTCAAGCAGGCACCCCTAAACTATTCAATTAGGATATAAAGATTAAGCATCCCAGGTCCATGCAGAGCCAAAATGAAATAACAGCATAGAGGAGCAAATTTTATCAGAGATTAAGTCTGAAAGAAAATCAGAGAAGGGGACTAGTTATGATGTGTAACCATTCCTGCAAAACATGTCAAAATTTTGCTGCAATGGAATAACATTTCTCTATGGATAGGTGTTTGTTGGAGAAAATAACAGAGCCATTAACCCCTTGTGGTAATTCATTAGAATTGAACATAGGTACGGAATCGAATAGGAAGCACATTTAATAGGCTTGCAGATAATCAGGAGTAAGGAGTCCATTCTAGCTCTAGTGTGGAATATCAGTGAAGGATTCTGGATATGAGGTCAGACAAAATGGAATTNCTATATGCTTTCTAGCTCTAGTGTGGAATATCAGTGAAGGATTCTGGATATGAGGTCAGACAAAATGGAATTGAATCCGAATCATGTTCCTTAATAAGTCACTTCATTTCTCTAAATCTTGCTCCTTCTGTCAAATGTGGGCTCCTCTGAGGTCTGAGGGGGAGGGTGTATATGAAGGGGTCTGGCGCTCATTAGGTACTCAACAGATTTTCAATCTGGATTAAGTGTTGGCATCACGCAGTGCAATGTTGCTGTACTAGTGGTCATGTGTCTTAACAGTTGTAACCCTAAGGATGAATCCCAAGAAGGAAGAAAACAGGAAAGGCACTACTATTAACAGAGGCATCCTCGTAACAAAGGGCCCCGATCATGTATATTTCCACCTTCAAGGTGCATCCCCAAAAGATTCCCTTAGGTTTACCTTAAAAAAAAGAAAGAAAGAAAGAAAAATAGTCTAAAATAATACAGAAGAGGGAACTAAAGTTCTCACAGGGGCCTTATTTCTCTTATCAAATACCAATCTTCCAACTTTCTCCAGAACGCCTCGCAGCCACTCACTGCAGGCAGCTCTGCCTGCTGAGCTGCCGAGAGACTATGTTGAGTGCCTCCTGCCCAGACTCACACGCGTGGGGAGAGGTTGAGGGTAGTGCTGAAGCCTGGTAAGTTCCTTATCGCCCTCCATTGCAGCTACAAATTATTTGCTTTGGACTTCGAAGCCTCCCAGCCTCTCTCCGTACCCCTCTTTCCCCCACCCCCTTTTTTTAATAACCAAAAGAGCATCTTCTCGGAGCCTCCCCCATCTCCTCCTGTTCCCTTCAGCAGAGATTCCCTCCACACCGCCCTCTACATATGAACCGCCTCCCACTCTCCATTCATCAAGGTACATGCTCGGCCCATTCACAATTCATGTTAAGTCCTCAAGGCCCTCCCAAAGCTCTTTTCAGTGGATCTCCCAGCTGCTCTAATAAACCCCACCGCCACAGCCACCATATCTCCATCGCAGCCACTCCCAGTCCTCAGGAGTTGTGCAGAGATGGGGAGTGGGGAGGTTTGCATGCAAACCTAGGCGGGGACAAATAGAGCCAGCCTAGCATTAAGCTTGGTCTCGTTTTCCGAGAAAAACAAACAAACAAAACAAAACCAGTTACAAATATTTCCAACGCGTGGCAACAAGCATGTTGGGGGGGGGGGATATTGGTCGCGTGTACGGATGAATGAATGTTGAATGAATGGATGAATGGCTGGGGTGTCTTTGGCACTTTTCTCAGATGCCCCTCCTGCTTGCTCCCAGCATGGTCCCTGTGTCATTCAGCTTCAGCGCCTGAGCGCACCCCCAGCCTCGCCTCTGTCTCCACTCCCTGCCCTTTTACTGCCACCCGAGACGGAGCTTAAACCTCGTCGCCAAAGGGCACCCTGCCTCGCCCGCCCCCAAACCCTCAATGACTTCAAAAGCCCAAGCAGCTTGCTGCTCAGAGGCACAGCCTTTCACCCTGCCAGCTTCACTTCTCCCCAGCGCCCCCTGCCCCCCGCCGCACAAAGGATGCCCCTTTCCCCGCCTCAGGGGCCACCTGGGACAGCCCCCCGTCGCCGCCCCCCTGCTGGCACTTGTAACCCAGGTGCTCGCGAGGGGAACGCGGTTCCCCGCTTCTCTCCGCAGGGAAAAAAAGGAATCGCCATCCCAGGGCTCGGTCCTGCTTCCTACAATCAGAAAACTTTTTTTCTTTTATTAAATCGAAAACCCCACCCGGAGAGCAGCGACCTCTTTGTTTGCATCCCAGGGGGAGGGAGGCTCGCGGAGCCTTTGCAGCCTCTGGGGCGAAGGGGACGTGGCAGCCCCCCCGGAGGGCGGCCGGGGACCAGACTCACCCAGGACGTTCCCGATGAGGGCCACCACGAACACGATGATGTAGCCGGCGATCAGGACCCACTCATATTCTTTGGGGTGTAGGTATTCCCTCCACAGGTACCGCAGGAATTCCTCGTCGTCATAGTCGGTGGGGCTCAGAAAGGGCTCTTGAGTTGCATTCAGCTCCGAGGACCAGTTGCGACAAGGGGGTGAGTCGTCCGATTTGGTGCCGGACATCACGGGCTCGAGTCCGGTTCGGCTCAGTGCTGCAGGCTGCTCTTGCCCTGCCCCATGAGCACTGGGCACTGGCGGTGGGAAAAGCAAGGCGGCGCGGAGAGGCGACAAGGGGGCCCCGAGCAGCGAATGACGTGAAAAGT